TAACTCACTGAGCCACCCGGGCTCCCCTAAACTTTGTATTTTGACATAATATCGAATGTAGAAGAGCAGTACAAAGAATTTCCATATACCTTTCACCCAGATCCCTCAAGCATTAGTGTTTCACTACTTCTGCTTTGTTTTTTTTTCTCTCTCTCTCTCTCTCCACACACACACACTCTCTCTCTCTCCCACACACACAGAGGAACCTATCAGAAAAGGCTCCCACCAGCCAGATCTGGGACAATTTGAACATCAAAATAAATAACGATAGTGAAAAATTACAACTTCTTGAAAAAAATTCACAAGCTCACACTTACATACATAAATTAAAAAGAAAAATTCTTCTTTATGTTAACTAACTGGAATTTATTTATTTTAAAGATTTTATGTTTTTACTTGACAGAGAGAGAGAGAGAGAGCACAGGCAGGGGGAGCAGCAGAGAGAGAGGGGGGAGAAATAGGCTCTCTGCTGAGTAGGGAGCCCAATGTGGGACTCGATCCCAGAACCCTGAGATCATGACCTGAACCAAAGGCAGACGCTTAACCAACTGAGCCACCCTCGTGCTTCTAACTGGAATTTAAATAAAAACTTGAAACAAACAAACAAAAATTCTTCCTGGCAGAATGCCAATTAATACAAGTAGAAAGATCAATGGAATTAGAATAATCAATGCTTGGCAGCCGTGTGTGGACCAAATGGAATGTATCAAATGTAATCTATGGGTTTGTAGTTTCTAGTATTTAGCACAAAAGCTCCCATGGTTAGACTATTGGTCTGATGGAATAAATGGTATTTTTTTATTACCCTGGTAATTCTTCATCAGTCTCCTGAAAACCCTGAACAGAAATAAAAACCATAGACTAATTCTTTCGACTCCCAGTGTCCTAAGTTCTGCTCCATGAGGAGGCAACACTGATTGAATTTCTAGATGTTGTTATTGTGTCCCATTTTTCCCCAACTGGGTCCAGAACCTTTCACAGGACATGCTCTATAAAGAACACTTATAAGGGAAGCTGTTTCAAGTTTGCCCCTTTGATCCAGAAATATGACTTCGGACACTGCTCTTGCTCTGTGCCGAGCCCTGAGCTAGGCGCACATCAAATTTTCTAACCCTTACAAGAACACTTCTGCATGAGGCATGTTAGCCTCCATTGAAGAGCTAAGGCTCAGGGAGGTTAAGTAAATGACCCAAGTCATGCAGCTTGGAGATGGCTCCTCTAGGGTGGAAACCCAAGTGAGGTTAATAACCTTAAGTCCATATTTTTCTTACTACACCAACATGGAGTTTACAGGACATGGAACTCAGAGGTGTTTCATTAGAGGGGAGGCACATTGGAGATTTAGGTTCTCAGAGCAAGCAAGCAATGCAAAAATTGCCTAGAGTTATCTTCACGTCCCTGAAACCATCTGCAAGCTGCATTGTAGAGACCAAGTGTCCTCTCTTACCCACCTACACAGCTAGCCTCCCCTCTAGTGCCGGAACACGTTTCCACTTCACCTGCATACAAGGAGTTACTCCATTAATAATTTTCTGCTCTTCTGAGGAGCGGTGCCAGTGTGTGGAATGTTTGCCACAAACGGCGAGGCAGTCTCTCGATCTCTTGATGCTCTCCTTTCCTCCCCGCCTTTGCCTTCTGTCTTTGCTTCCCTCCCACTCTCAAAAAATTATCTGGACACCACAAAGTGAGGGGACTGCCTTCTCCATGTATCATCATGAACTGGTTTCTTATAAATAGCCATTAGACTTTTGCTCAAGTTGAAGAACTGAGTTGGCCTCAAGGGAGACAGAACAGGGACTGGAGAAGACATATGACAAAGGCCACAGGCACTGCATGGCATGTGTTACTGGTGACGAGCATAATAGATCTGAGTAACCTTTACCCTGTGACAAGCACCATACTCCACCCGATCTACCAGGCCTCAGAGAAGAGGTTTTATGACTTGCCATGAGTCCTATCAACAGGATGAATCTGGGCTTCTGTAAGCCATTCTGTGTGGACCTCACTAAGAGCTAGAGGTACCTGGGAGAGTGTGCATCCTCAAGGGGCAGCCTGAAGAGGGTTGTCACAAGGAGAACAAACCAACTCTGCTGTAAGCTACATGCCCAGAGCTCCCCAGGGGATCAGGCTGAGGCTGGAGTGCCCCCCAGATTGCACCTCCTTTGGCTCCCTCCTATTCCACATCAGGATACCCTGATGCCCTCAGTCCCTCACAGTCTCCTCTGGAATCACTTCCTTAATGAATCCTGATGCCAGGGCCAGGCTCTGGGGCATCTGTCATCAAGGAAGACTTCCTCCAGGAAGCTGGAGCTGGGCTCTGACTGGTGCATAGGAGAAGAGCAGGTAAATAAAGAATGTGCCTCAGCCTGGTGATGGGTATGAAAGAGGGCACATATTGAATGGAGCGCTGGGTGTTATATGCAAACAATGAATCATGGAACACTACCTCAAAAAAAAATTAATTAAAAAAATAAAAAAGAAAGAAAATGTGCCGGGAGGGAAGACTGTAGGGGGAAGGACCGCAGGTGCAAAACCTCGTGGGCCGAGAGCGTGGAAGGAATCAAAGAAACTGGCAGAAGCCAGTGTGGCGGGGTCCGAAGGCATCTGGGTGTGGGTGATGTGGGCTGGGGCCTGTGGTTCAGTGGGGCCATGTTTTCCAGGACACTGACGTCTGGCTTAAGGAATTGGATCTTTACATAAAAGCAATGGGACCCCACAGAAGCAAGGATGAGACAGTCGGGTTTGGGTTTTGAGAAGGCCAAAATGGCCAGTGTACAAAGACCAGACTGGAGATCAGCTGGAAGTTTCTGCGCTCATCTAGAGGGAGGTGGTGCTTCAGGACTAAATGGACTTACAAAATATTGAAGCGGCAAAAAAAAGGAAAATTATTTTGCCACTCAAAGGATCATCTTTCTGTAAAACTGTTAGGGAAATCCGGCTTTTAGTCAGAGTAGATTTCATGATATGGGGTTTTTAAAATGGCCACTGAAAAGATTTTCTAGTAAGACGAAGTTTAAAACTTTAAATTTTGATGTAACAAATGCAACAAAGAGGAAACAGTTTTTGAATATTTCAAAACTTTTATTTTCAGAGAATTCTAAGAAGATATACAAATGAGATCTGATGACACGTGGATTTATAATTCTAAAAATAATTTCACAGTAGGGAGAGAGCATGCACCTATTTTAGTGATATGTACATATTCATTCAAATAGAATGATGTAAATGTATACTCCTGAAATATTCTAAAAGTATAACCTATAAAGGGAAGTCTTTATCAAATATACAGAAATATAAGTATGTTTTTAGGAAAAATAGTAGTAAACATATGTAAAAATAAACTGTATATAAACACATTTTTTTTTTACAGTTTTAAGTAATACATGCACACTTTACTACTGTTATATAGAGGAGAAAGCAAAGCATGGGAAGTCACTGAATATTTTTACTGTAACTGGACTTTAGAACATTGTCCTAAACCATAGATCCTAAATCAAATACCATATATATTTTGAAAATGACTTGAGCAAATTGTCATTACAGTACACACCCACACACACATACACAATTTCAAAGCTGCTGATCTACTTCTTAATGCCAGAGAGGAAATCCATTAGCTAAATAAAGAATTTCAGAATCCTTTGACAAAATGATGCCACAGTGAATCATTAAGGCATTCTTAGATAAGAGATTCTTACTTCATCAAAGTACTTAAAATAGACTTATTCTCTAATTTCCCAATAATGCTGCAATTTCACAACAGGAAAAATACGGTTCCACAGAGACCTGATAACTTTAACATTTAGCTTTGCTTATGTCATAAACAAGTATTTCCCCAAATATTACATTAAACAGAGTTACAATGAATGGATTGTCAATATTACCCCAAGCCCCAGACAATTTAGCTAGCGTACCATAGGTCTTTCATTGTGAAATGTAAACTCACTTTTGAGAAGTAAAGAACCAAGCAGTGAATTTGGTAGGGAAGGAACAGAAACATTTAGTGACTTTACCAGACTAACTGACAAGTGCCTGGCCTCCCTGGCACATCATAGAAGATGCAAGAGAAAACAGTATTATGAGTAATTTTGTGTAAGCCAAGATGGTGCTGACATTGGTTCAAGTAAACCTGCAGTATACCTTGTAAAGCACCTTGTAACCCAACAATCTGCTTTCCTGAGTCAGATACAATCTTTTATTAAATACCGTCATCTATATAGACAGTGCAGCTTCTAGAACAATTGTACCAAAGAAAGAGTATAAACACTTGGGCCCAACTGTTCTTTATGTGCCGTTTCACGCTCTGATGTTTGAAGTTTGCTTTCCAGTAATGAAGAAGCCATAAGCACCATTCTTGCAGGAGGGTAAACATGGCTGCTCTTGGTCGTGGTCAAAAAAAATTCTGGAAGATAAATTCCAATTAGATATTAAGAAAGTGTAAGTAAACGATATTTAACACAGGCTAGTAAATATATACACTTACATTCCAGGGGCTGGTAAGCCAAAGCCCTGTGGTCAAATAAGGCCGACCACCTGCATTTATAAATAAAGTTTTATTGGAACAGTCTTGGTAGGCAGAATAATGGCCCTGAGAAAATGTCTATGCCCTAATCTCCAGAGCCTGTGAATGCATGGCAAAAGGAACTTTGCAGATGTGATTAAGTTTACAGACCTGGAGATGGAAAGATTATCCTGAACATCAGAAGGAGGAGAGATTCAAAGCCGGGAGAGGAACTCTCGCCCCATAATGGCATCTTGCCTTTACAGAGCACTTAGTGGATGCCAGGATCCAGGCTAAGTATTTAGTATCATATCAACTTTCTAGAGAGATATAATTTTGGTCCCCATTTTACAAATGAAAAAAATATGGAGGCAGAAATGTTAAGAAACTGCTCAAGGTCACCCAGCCACTCAGTGGTGAGCAGGGATTCAAACCCAAGTCTGGCTGGCTTCTAAGCTCAGCTCACACTTTGGTCATTCACAGCACGCCAGATGCTCACCTGAGGCTCTTACCGCTGTCGGAAAGCGATGGGGGGCACCCGGCTGGGCACCAGGATGCCCAGGTGCAGCATCTCCACAGGCTCATTGTCCGTGGCCACGATGTCATATTTGCGGACGATCTGAAACACACATGCACCAAAAAAAGGGCAGAATTACCCCCTCTTTTCCTGCCTTGTGGAATACAACAGAGCACAACTGCAAAAATCAGAGTTTTACCCAGCAGAGAGCCAAGTGGAGCTGGAGCTCGGCTAGTCGGCGACCGATGCACATTCTTTTCCCAATGCCAAATGGAAGATGCGCAAAAGGATTAATCTTTGTCTTCTCCTGAAGCCATCGTTCGGGCCTAAACTGGCTTGAATCTTTAAAATTTTCTTCACTGGATCCCAACACCTGGGTATTTAACATCAACACTGTCTAAAAACATACCAAAACACAAAACATGTAAAATAACTAGAAGAAAACATTTGAACAGCAAAATTTACAAAAGGGATCCCCTTACAAATGTAAAAACAACCCACAAGTTTATAATATGGTGATTGCCAACATGTATTTAGTACTAGAAATATACCAGGTAATAAATAGGTAAAGAAGTTTAAAATTTAGCATCACATTCTCACGCAACCCTATGTGGTGGGTTCCATTATTATCCCCATTTTGCAGATGAGAAATCTGAGGCTCACAAAGGTTATGTTAACTCACTCAAGGCTATGCTTGAATCTAGGTCTCTTTTCCCCCAGACCATTAATCCTAACACCATATGATGCAACATGTTAGCTATACACTAAAATATACATATTTCCAAAATGAATGCTCTCCCAGGGAAAGTGTTTATGGAGATCTGATGAATATTTGGAAAGTGTATCTTTCAAAGCTCTATAAGGTAACAGATTGCACGAATCCTACTTACTCCTTTGGGTAAAGCATATTCACCCAGAACCATTGCTTTGTCAAGAGTCCTAGTTGTAAATGGCACACTTGGGGTAAGCCTGAAAAAACAAAATTAAAGATGTAAAGGTGAGGACAGACCAGAATATCAATGGGAATACAGACACTGGTTAAATAAACAATTCCTGCATATGTTCATACTCAAAAAAGGAACATGATCACAACTCTCATAAGGAAGTTGTCTCTCTTTTTTTTAGAAAGTTGTCTCTCTTTTTTTTAGAAAGTTTAATTTAATTTATTTATTTATTGGGGAAGGGGCAGAGAAAGAATCTTAAGCAGGCTCCACACCCAGTGCTGAGCCCGATATGGGCTTGATCTCACAACCCGGAGATCATGACCTGAGCTGAAATCAAGGGTAGGACACCTGACCGACTGAGCTCCCCAGGCGTCCCAAGAAGTTCTGTCTCTCTCTTCCCGAAATTTATATCTCCTGATTTTCTTCCTTATTGTGTTGGTTAACTTCCCAGTAACTGCTTAATAGCTGTTAATAGTGGTTTTCTCCTGTTTCTTTCTGGACTTCAAATGTGTGTGTTTCCTGTGTCACGCTTAAGTTTGACTTTTGTTCTAGGTTTCTCCTATCTGCCCTTCCTGAAGTGAAAGCTATTTCTTTCCTAATGCTAGAATGTTGTGAGTTTTGTTTTCCAGAAAGTGTATAAAAAGAATTTTCAGAGAACATTTTATACCAGAGGCTCAAAAACAAAGATGTCTCTTTGTCTTATCAAATAATAATATAGTTTTCTTGCCGAACTTCTTCTCAGATTCTTCAATTATGCCCCTAATCTTAATTAGTGCTTACCCAGCATTCATTAGACTATTATTATTACGGATTGAAAGGGAGGACACGGACTTTCCAGAGATTTAATAGAATTTGCCCAAATGATTTAGGAAATAAATAAAAGAATATGGTCCTCTTAATCTCAGGAAACAAACTGAGGGTTGCTGGAGTGGTGGGGGGTGGGAGGGATTGGGTGGCTGGGTGATAGACATCGGGGAGGGTATGTGCTATGGTGAGCGTTGTGAATTGTGCAAGACTGTTGAATCACAGATCTGTACCTCTGAAACAAATAATGCAATATATGTTAAGAAAAAAAAAAGAAGAAGAAGATAGCAGGAGGGGAAGAATGAAGGGGAGTAAGTCAGAGGGGGAGACAAACCATTAGAGATGATGGACTCTGAAAAACAAACTGAGGGTTCTAGAGGGGAGGGGGTGGGGGGATGGGTTAGCCTGGTGATGGGTATTAAAGAGGGCACATTCTGCGTGGAGCACTGGGTGTTATGCACAAACAATGAATCATGGAACACTACATCAAAAACTAATGATGTAATGTATGGTGATTAACATAACAATAAAAAATTATTAAAAAAAAAGAATATGGTCCTAAGGCTCTTTTTTTTGCAGTTTGATAAATGTTTCTGAGTCAACTGTGGGTGCTGTCTGTGGGTGTGGAGACCCCTCATTGTGTCTTTAAGAGAATGGCTTCCCAGCATATTCATGTTGGCTTAGGCACGTGTTCTCACCTCATAGATTCTTTCAGACAGGCTTTTAAATATGGCATATTCCTCAGATCCTCTGCCCGTGGCATCCGATTCTCAGGCAATACCCTCTGAATTTCCTTAAGAAGCTTTTGTTGCACATGGGGATTACGGGATAAATTGTAGAGAACCCACATTAAGCTGTTCGCTGTCTGAAAGGCAAATGGATATAAACCTGAGTTTCTACAAATAAATTGCCTTAAAACCATCATGAGCTGAACAAAAACTGATGCCTACCACCTTGCTCTGCAAATGTATTAGCGAGACTTTTTCACGTGTCCTTATTTGCTGTGCGTTACACAAATACAGCATATGAAAAGTCAGATTTATTTTAGAAAATAATGCCAGTTAAGGATAGCTTAATCAACGTAGACTCTTTGAAATAATCAGCTGCATTAGGACACTTAAAATTCAATTTGATAAAAAAATTGTTTGAACACAAAGGAACCATGTAGAGCTGATGAAAGGAAAGCAAGCTGGTTAGGATTGTATCTGTGTCAATTTCCAGGTTGTGATAAGGTTTTATTGTTGCAAGTTGTTACCACTGGGCGAAGCTGCGGGAAGGATCCAAGGGACTGCTCTCTACTTTTCCTTAGAACTGCCTGTGAATCTATAATTATCTCAAAATAAAAAAGCATTTGATCAAAAATTGTTTAATATAGGAAATGGATAGAATACTTGGGTGGGGAGAGAGGAATAGAGATCCTGGCAGTGCTGCTAATAAGTTTTTTCTTTTCAATTTTATAGTACAAATGCACAAGAAACTGTATTTCTGGAATTTAAAAGAGAGGGTTGTTTGTTTGTTTTGCTACATCCTAAAAAGTTATCTATGAACCCTGGGTTCCAGCCACATGCAAAGAGCCCTTGCAGGAGGGTGCCAACACCAAAATAAGAAATTCTAGCATTGCGTTGAGTATTTCAAGGAACCAGCCACAGTTTCTGATGAAGGCTCATGGTCTTTCTAGCGGCATGCTTTACTTCCTTTCCAAAGGCAGCAAGAAGAGAAAAAATACTGTCTGGAACAGGCGGCATAGCTTTCACCACTGGTAGTCATAGGTATTAGTTTTTAGGGCTTTTTTTTTTTAAGTTAATGTAAGCCAAATATTCCTGTAAAAATGGTCATTGCAGACATGAAGACGCTTTTACTAAGTGTCATGTGCCACTGACATAGATGAGCAAAGTGCAAGATGATTCGGAGCCAATGTTATTTACTATTTTGGGAAGAAGATGCCTCCAAGGCAGGCTTCTTCATGTCAGAGGACTGGCAGCCTCAGCTGCAAATAAACTGTGGACGGCATTATTACAAGATTCCAATTTACAAAACAGGAAGAGGGCGTAGCCACCAAATTAGATACACTTTCAAATTTCTCTGATTTTCCAAAAGTGACTTCCAGAATTGCCAGGACTAAAAAAGAAACATTTAACCATATCAGCGGGTCCCTTACCGCAAGTACCAAATAGAGTTTCCCAAAGGCAGATAACTGTAGCTTTCGTCGGGGACTTGTAAGACAGCCTGGGCCTTTTAGGGTAACTGCAGGGGCTGAAAATGGCCTGGGAAACCTCACAGGCACTAACTATCCCGGCTTGACCTCCGTGGAGGAGATCCATCTCGCAGCTGGCCTCCCGGCTTTTGCTCTTCCCTCTTCTAGAGTCTTCTTTCACTCCACCAGCCAGAGCCCTCCCTTCAAAACATAAATGTGATCAGGCTACTTCCTTGCTTATAATACCCCAAGGGCTTTCCATCACAGGTGTAATAAAATCCAAATGGCTTACTAAGGCTTCTGGTCAATATGGCCCCTTGACTTCTCCAACATCAACCTGACCACATTGGCTAGGTCTCCAGCTCCCACCCTCTTTCTGTTCCAGGGCCCTTGCACATGCTGTTCCCTCTACCTGGAGAGCTCTTCCACCACATCTTTCCCCTGGCTGGCTCTCTCTCATCATTTCAGTCCCAGGAAGAGAGGGAACCCTGCCCCCTCTCCATTCGCCTTCTATCCCATCACTCAGATGGTTTCCTCCATGTCTCCTACCACTAATTGCAAAGATCCCATTTATTGGTGTGTCTACATGTTTCTGGTTGGTCTTCCCTCCCGGCAGTTAAGTTCCATGAAGGCCAAGACCTTGGTCTCTGGTTCATGGTGGTCCCTCAAGCACCTAGAACAGTGCCAAGCACATAGTAGGCACTCAGTAGTTTCTGAATCCTTTCATTTATTCATCAAGTATTCGTTGAGCACCTGCTTTATGCTAAGTACTATTCTACATCCTAGGAATACAGCAGTGGACAAAACCAAGTCATCTCCCTCATCGAACTCACATTCCAGCTGAAAAAAAAAGATAATGGGTGAAGCTTTACTTTTATCACTCTAGGGAGCCTCTTAGGCTAAGTGACTCAGTATGACAGTGAGCGAAATGAATTCTTCCTTTTAACACCCTTCTGGAGTGCGAGGAGAAGTGATAACTTTGCTGTTCCCCCTGATGTAGAAAACCCTACTTTTTCTTTGGACGAGAAACACGAAAGAAAGGGGAAACATGGGAAAGAAACGAACCGGGACACATTCTTCTTAGAGATTACAGGTGTATGAACCTTTGGGCCATGAGGAATATTAGTACACGTCCCTCCAGGGATGGTGCAAAGAATGGATCGAAGACGATCAAACCCACCTGAACACCTGTCAGAATTTGTGTTTGGAGTCTGGCTGGATTGTGTACCTACCAGGAGTATCAAGCACACTGGGGACAGAATTTTGGTATTTCAGATTGGTTGTTTCATGTAAGTCGAAATCAAGTTTTCTCCGGACTCATTATGTTTATGCTTTTAATCTGAAAAAAATAATCGGACTGGCAGAGAGCATGCCAATATTTTTAGAGTAACAACCATAGTCAGGCATTTCGGGGTTAACATGCACAACCTTTTAGAACATATTCAGTTTTTAAAAAATCTTGCTATGGTGTGGCATTTTACTGCCTCTGAATTCCCATAGCAGCTTGTGTCTTTAATATGGCACTTGATTGTCCCCCACTAGAGCGCATGAATTCACCTCCTATCACCTGTTTAAGGACTGAGACTGTGTCCTGGGTCTCCCGCAGCGTCTCGTAGGAGACTTACCATTTTTGCTAAGCCAGTGCTCAGTTAATCCTTGTGGAATGAGTGAGCTGAATGAGTACTTAAAATTCATCATGAAAAAGATTTTCCAGCCCATTTGTTTAGCGAACTCAGGCCCCTTACCGTTTCTACGGCAGCCAGCTGGAGCTCTGTGACAGCCGCATACAATTCTTTCTTGGAAAGCTGATGGTGGTGATAAATATCACAGAGGAAATCCGTGCTGGGCTGCTCAGAATGTTTCTCTAAGCGGTTGTCGATACAAGACTTGACTGTTGGAGAAAGGAAGTCAGGGGAAAATTAGGGCACGAAAGAACGCAAGAGACCCCCAGGTAAAATCCTCCCCGTGACATCTTCAGGGCCTTTTTGGGGGGACGCTGACCATTTCTTCGAGTTAACGTTGCCTTGCTGTTAAGTCACCAAGGATTGATCGGTGCCCACAGGAGCAGGGCTCCTCAAATTTTAACTTGCCAAAGAATCCCCCAGGCATCTTGCTAAAATGCGGATTCTGAATCAGGGGTCTGGGGGCAGGCCTGGAAATCTGCATTTCTTACAGGCTCCCAGGCGCTGTTTCTGCTCTGCAGGTCACATTTCGAGTACTAAGAGCTCAGAGTTTGGAAGAGATCGTCACGGGACAGAGATGGGATTTGGGTCCACTCTCAGAATCAGAACTCACACCCAGAGCCAGGTGTCTGGCTGGTTTGGTCACGAATCCAGGCAGGGTGGGACTTGGCTCCCAGATCTGGGCGGGAGGGGAGGAGAGAACCTCCCCCAACGTTATCAAACATAAACACACGTGCACACACACACACCCAAGTGCAGTGCTTCGTGCATGCTGGCAAAGGTAGCAGAAATTTCTGGTGTTTGTAAAGAACATTCTAGACACGTGTCTCCTTATTTCAATGCACTAGGGCAAGACACGACCAGAATAATAATAACAGTGAGGTTGACAGTAATAATGATGACCATAAGTGGTACAGCAGTTAGAGCTAGAGCTTTGGGAGTCCTTCTGTCTGGCTTCAAACCCTGGCTTTTGCCGTCATCTAGCATGTAATCCTGACAATGTTACTTTTTTGTGCCTCAGTTCTGTCACTTAGGGCCAATAGAAGGACCTACTTTATAGGGTTTTTGGTGAGAATTAACTGAGTACATGTTTATGTGTGTGTATAAAAGATATGACATGGTATGATATGATATGGATCCTTCTACTAGTACCTACTGGTAACTCATAGAACAATACTCACAGCACCAATGTTCCCCTGATAATGTAGCAGAAATAGCTCTGATCCATTGGGTATTGAGATAAGCCAATTTTTTTTTTACATTATCTATATTAGACCTAGAAATAGCTGCATCGAGGTAAGTATTATTATTGTTATTAGCCCATTTTAGACACAAGACTACTGAGGACGAAAGAGTTATAGCACATTTGGTCAACGTGTTATACCAGTGACAGAGCTGGGATTTGAACCCAGGTATCTCTGACTCCAAAGCTCTTGCTTTTAACCTCTCCCAGCTCCCAAAGACTATGCAAAGCTGTCTTTTCCTTAGAATTTGCCTATGCCAGGATGATTCTAAACTCATGTTTACAAAGCCAAAACAATCAGGAGGCACAACTCCATGAAAGGATCAAGGTCATCAGGTCAAGAAGATCATTCCTGACTTCTGGCAGCAGTGCCAGAGAAAGGGCTACGGGGTGTGTGTGGCTGCATTACCTGATTTGAAAATGGTGTCCCAGGCCAACGTGTGAGCCTGCCACACCTTGGTATTGAGGCTCTTGTGCAGCTCGACCGGGGTTACCATCATCCTCCCAAACGTGCTCATCATCTGTGAGGAACACAACGCCTTTTCATCCCGGTATCTACCTCTCTCAAAGACAACTGGAGAGGAGCCTTCACATGGGAGAGGAGCATTCTACACGACCCGCACCCTCTGCTTCCACAAAGGCAGGAACTCTCCCCCCAGTGCTGGACGCAGAGCCCTCCCCCACCCCGGTGGCACAATGAAAATGATCTTTGGGATGATTTCCCATTGGATGTGTTTAATAAAATATGTGATCTTAGGACCTCCATATTTAAAAAGAAGAAGAAAGAAGGACAACCATCACTTTCATAGAGACTTCCATTTCCATTAATTTCCCAACGTTCGCCATTTTCTACACCAGTTTCATGGCATCTATCACATCCATGTGTGATTGAAACGATTCAAAAATATTACATTGGAAAATTTTCAGACTCTTTTTCAAATAGTATTTTAATCGACCGACCTTTAATTGAAACACCTATTTAAACTTGCCTAAACGATGATGTAGTGTGATTCCTGGTTTATGAGCAAACATGCACATACGTACATTAAAACACATGACACGTTGAAATTAACACTTAACTAGTGTAACAAAATAGGTGTGTGTGCCCCTCCTGGGGAAATGGGATGTACCTTTGTTAAGTTCTGTAAATTGGGAAAATTGCTATCTTCAAGGGGATGCTTACTGTTTTGATGGCCATGATGAAATTCAAAGCTTCACCCCCTGCATTCTTCTGAAGCAGTCCAAATCTCTTCTCATAGAGCACAAGGCAGATGCCTGTCATTTAAAATAATCAAGAGTTACACAATCACAGCGTCACCGTAGTCTGGGAGTAGCGGGCTATTAAAGGCTTCATTCTATCTTTTGTAAGAGCAAGGTCTTTTCCAAGAACAAAGGAAAGGCAAAAAATCTGAGAGAAAGGGGCATGACACTCTTCTCACTTTCTAGAAATCGTCTCCACATCCACTGACCCATCCGCTGCAGAACCTCCGGGTCAGAAATGCCACGGTGAAAATACAGCCATTTTTATACAGGATTGAATGTCTCCTGCAATGCCTTGCTTTTGTCAGAGTTTATCATTGACACCATGTGTAACAGACACTGTAAATGGCCTACCCGATACTCATTCTCTCCCATTTCTTCCCTAAGAGATCCCCAATTTTATTTAGAGTGTCAGTGTATCAGTCCTCGGGCAATGAATCTGGAGTCATCTAAGACTCTGGTGACAATCCTGTTCCCTGATTCCCCAGGCTTCCTGCAGCAGCCTGAGAAGCCACATGGCCCCGGTCTGGCCAGTGAGGCTTAAGGAGAATACTCCTTTGCTTTCTTAATAAAAGGGGCAAGTACAGCTGCCTTAGCTCCTCCCTCTTTCCTTCTTGTTTTTGCCTAGAGTGCAGAGGTGAGACCAGGAGGGGCGGCGGCCATTTTGCAACAAGCCAACCAGCTAAGGATGGATGAGCAAAAAGATGGAGAGCCGCCAGTGACATCGCTGAGTGCTAGTTGCGGCTGCTCTCCTCGAGACTTCTCATAACACTGGGACAATAATTTTTAAGCCACCACAGTCCAATCTTCTTTGACTTGCAAAGACATGCATTCAGTACTCCTTCATTTGGGTATTTCCAGTGGACAGTTTCCAAAACATACACTTGTTTCTCCTCTGTAATCATTCCCTCACTTTATTCTACTCCCCTTTTCCTTAACACCTTCTGTGGGTTTCTTCTTTGCATGGAGCTTTCTGATGTGCTAAGATAGTCAAATGGTCTCTATCTTTAAAGTGAGGCTTGGCAGCTGGGGGAGACAGGTCACTACAAAAGCCTCCATCCTGGAGTGCCCTCTCCAATCCCTCGCATGAGCAGCCAGAGTGATCCTTCCAGCAAATCGATCCAAGCCTCCTTCCAGTTAAAAGCACTCTGTATCACTCCCAGGTACTCCCAAGCTCAAAACCAAATTCCTATCCCTAGTTTAAATGGGTTGGCCACTGCCTTCCTCCCATCCTCTGCCCTCACCATGTTGGTCATGCTCTGGTCATTCTGAACATCTTCCTGTTCCTTCAACAGAATCTTCTCTGCTCCTTCATTGGCCTTCACCTGGCGAACTCCTACTCATCTAACAGGCCTCAGCTGATATGGTCCCACCACCGTGAAGCACCCCGTGACCAAGCTCAGCTGAGGCAGCTCTCTCGAATTCTCCCACAGCCTCGAACCTCCTCAGTCAGGTGCCTACCCTTTCTATGGAAACAGCTTCCTTGCCTGCATCCCCACTGGGCAGCGTTCTGGTCCAGGCGGAGCTCTGCTTTTTGTTCCTAGAGTGTTCCTCAAAGAAAGGGATCATCCCCTCTTCTGTCTGGAACCCTCCATGTTTCCCCACCTGACTCAAACTAAAAGCTCAAGTTCTGGCCAGAACCTACAGCCCCTGACTTGGTCTTCCTCAGCCCCTCTTTCCCTTCCCCTATCATCCACCCCTATTGTCTGAGACATCACTCATACTTCCACCTTGGCGTATTTGCCTTCCCTGTCTCCACATTCTGGAACGATCTTCCCCACAGATGCCCTGTGGCTTATTCCTTTAGGTCTCACCTCAACTGTCTCCTTCCCAAAACAGACTTGCCTCATCTGGGAGCTTAGGTTCTTTCTTGAATCCCTTACCCCTTGTCAAAATATATATTTTAAAGCGTGTTTACTTGTTGATCGTCAACCCTACTAGACTCTAAGCTCCATGGGAACGCAGACATTGCTTGTTTTGTTCCCTGCTGTGTCCCTAGTACCAAGCATGCTCCTGGGCACATAGCAGGTGTTCAATAAACGTTTGTTAAATGACTACATAAACAATCCATAGTGCAAAGCATAACCTGAGTGCCCGAAAGCATGAAAAGACTGCACAAACTTTGTTGTCACCAACAGTATATGATTATAGAAGAGTTATTAACAAAGCCACTAGGAAATCAAATGAACAAGACCGTGAAGACAACTTACTTTCAAATGACCATTTGTTCAGTTCGCTGTATAAGTCTTCAATATGGCCCCTCTCGTCACAGAGCTCATCTATTCTACCCATAAAATCAGCCAAGACCTTAGAAGAAAGAAACCACAGAAGATATATTTCAGTCATTGAAGGAAAACAAAAGTTTAAAGGCTCTGAAAGCTAACTTCAGGTTTTGCTACCTTGTATATTCACTGCCCGTGATGTTATTCATTCTGAAGCAACACTAATTATATATTCTCCCTGGAGGCTCACCTTCTGCCCTAACGACTTAGTCCAGGGGTTATTTTCTCAGCTTTTCCTGAAACCACCCTAAAGCTTAGGTTTCAGCTTTTGATCTAAATTTAAGAAAAGGAAAACATTTCTTCTAATCAGAATGGGGACTAAACCATGAAGGAACAATCAGCCAAGTGTCTGTTGGCACAACCTGTCAAACACCATGAGGTCTGCCGCTTCCATATCTGGGCCAGCAAACATCTCCTTAGTGGCTGGTATTGTGTTAGGCGTGTTGAACTTGGAAGCAGAAAAACCTGCAAATTTGGGACACAGGTGTTCACTAAATAGCTCTGCGACGTGGGACAAGTTACATAAGGTCTCTAGATGCCAATTGCCAAAATCAGGGTTTTAGATGACTAACGCCTCACATTTAACAAGGCTTGTATCGTACCAAGCACTATGGAGTGTGTTTTCTTAGCTGATCCTCACAACAACGCAGTGAGGTAGAAAGTACTATCATTATTCCCATTTCCTGCCTAACAGAGGAGAGAACGGGCTTCCAGCGAGGCTCGGGTGCTCTCCCTTGGACACGTAGCTGGCAAGTGGCCATGCTAGGGCCTGGAACAAAGTAGGTATGACTACAAAGCCCATCCGTGTAACCAATGGGCATTTTGAGTTTGTCCACATAGTGCATTAAAAAGGACTTTGAAATTGTTACCATCAAAAAACTCCAGAAACTTCACATAAACATATGGAATTTTCCCTATCAAATAATAATAGTAATAGTAATAATAATAATAATGACAAAATCTGGAGACACTGGGTCTGCATTCCCAAGTGGCAGTCATTTGCTGGAGCTGGGGCAGCTGTTCCTTCTAGAAAGCGCATGCACTGTTCTGTTTGCTAAAATCCCTGCTGGGCCTTCCTTACACATTTATATGAATTACCTGGCCCCTGAAACCTTCTGGGTTTGCAATCTTGCACCTATATGATCCTATCTGGGTCAAGTTCAGTTCAAAACAAACACCCAAAGTGATCAGGAGTAAAGAGAACACTGTATGCTTAAATCCCTCCCTCTTTGGCCCTCTGTTGACTAAAGGATAATGTCTAAATGCCTTATCATAGTCCAAAAACATTAAGTGCTGCCCTCTGTCCAGCATCGTTTCAGAGAGAGCCTTGCCTCAGCTGCTCTGAATGTACTATTCTCTGAATGCTTCGTGCTGTCTCATGCCTCCCTATTTTCAGCAAGCTGTTCTCTCTTCCTGAATGCCCTTCTCCACCTTCTCTGGCTTGAAGACTCCTATTCATCTGGCAAAACCCAACTCAAATCGCATGACTGAGGACTTTTACAAGCATTATCTCATTTAATCCTCCCAGCAAATTTGTGGGGTGGGAACTGTCATGTATTTCCCAGTGTATATATTGGGAAAGTGAAGCTTAGGGAAGTTAAGGGAAGAGTCAGGTTACAGACTTCGCGGGGGTGGAGGGCTGAGGTTCAAAGCCAAGGCTGTGGAATACCAAAGTCTCTGCTTGTAATCAATCCCTTATTGAGATGTTACTTTGCAAGAGAGTGAAGGAAGGAGGAATAAGGGTTTGGGGGAGGAGGAGTGGGGAGAAAAGGAAGACCCCTGAACCATCAAACTGCCTGCGCTTTGTAGCTATGACTTGAAGTTCCATAAACATCTCTCCCTCCCCCGGCTCCCAGGCTGCAAACCTCGTTGATTTTGTTGTCCAGCTTCATAATTTCTACTGGTTTCATTAGTTTTTTCTGAAAAGCACTCCGGACCCTCTGCCAGTCTTCTCCTTCCCTGGGAGGGAAGCGGAATTGTATTTAGAGCAAACCAAAAGGTAAAGAAGGGAGAAGCAAAGACGCCCCCCAGCTCTGCCACTGTGTGAACTATGTAATCAAATGAACACTGAGAAGCATGCCACCGACCTCCCAGAGAATGTCAGCATTGGAATATTGGGGGCTGGTTTGACAACAGAATGAAACCACCTTTCCTCCCAGCCAAAGATGATGCCAGAAAGGTGAAGTCCAGGTAATTGGGGTTCAGGGCTTTTGAGGTGCCCTTGCTGGGGCCGACCTGGGAGGCCAGATGCCTTGATTCTTAGCAGTAAGAGTGGGCACCCAAACATCCCCTTCATCAGCAACCCAGATCTGTTTGAGAAAAATTTTCTCTTCTCCTTAATCCATTGACTTGGGCGGAAAGTCACATTCACAAAACACCGCAACCCTAGAATTCTATCATTGCCTCCAAATAATACACAGTCAGAGGTTCACTGGAGCTGTAAAAGCCTGTTCTAATCATCCACCTTCTTCCCTCACCCCACAGTAGACCACACAGCCTGTGACGCACCACACATTACTATGGCTTTTAATTCCAGTGATTATATCCTGAAAAATACAACTATTAGCCGTTACAATTTGGAAGTAAAAAAAAGTGCTAACTTGTTAAATGCTAACAATGAAAAAGCAGAGGAATCTATTCACATAATGGCATTTATCTATCTAAAAGAATGAGACCTTGATGTCCCTCCTCATCCCACCTTTCCGACTAGACTTGGATCTTTCTGGAGGGGAATGGGTCCCCTCCAGATAGGAAGGTAGCTGTCAAAAGCAAAAGAAGTTAATTTCTGGCGTTTGAGCTCACAAGAGGGGATTACAGACAATCGTAAGGGATAATTTTGTATATAATACTTTGGCCTGGCACGCTGACTTCCGAACCTCGACCCGCCCAAGAGTCTGAGCACCACAATTTGGATAACGCTTTGGGCCTTTCTTTGAAAAGGCACAGCCCTGCCCAGTTGCCGGAGAGAAGGCAGGTGTTGGGTGCACACATCTTCTCAGCCCACTCTGATCTAGGCAAGAGATCAAGACTACGCCAGGTAGAGCCTTTCGTGTTCTCCCAGCATACGGAGGGTACCACCGCTGAAAACCCTCTCCCAATTTCCAAGCGCATCGAGCCCAGACGCCGGCCCCCATCCTGCCTCCTGGACTCACAGGATCAGCAGCCCGTAGCCCTCCTTGCGGTAGTCGCGATAGGCCTTCCAGGGCTTGATCTCCAGCCGCTGGGGGTACGCGCTCTCCGTACGGTACAGCGCTTCCAGCAGGCACGGCGAGCCCAGGTGCACCGAGTCGAAGGAACCCAACTTCAGGCGGAAAATCTTGCCATACTTCCTGTGGTACTCCGCCTGCAGCGGGCCGGACCAAGTCAGCGCTCATCCCTCGCAGTCCCGGGAGCGCTCCTCCCGCCTCCCGCCTCCCGGCTCCAGGGCCTGAGCTGCCGCCACACTCCAGCGTCCTGTGCGCCCCGGCCGCGCGCCTCGCCCAGGGTTTGGAACGCACGCAGGGCAGGGAGGGGAGAGGGAGTTGGGGCGCGACGAGGCATTTACCAGCGTGTCGTGCTGTTTCTTGAGGCCCCCTTTCCAGAGAATCTCCAGCAGGCTGCCCAGCAGCGGCCAGTTGGTGGGGCCCGACAGGGCTGCCGCGTTCTGCGCCTCGCGCTGTTCCATCAGCGGGCAGAGGGGCACATCCCGCGGCCGAGGGGGTGCGCACGCCGCAGACGTCACCGGTCTGGGTGGCTGCCCCAGGTGGCGCAGCTGCTGGAGGAAGGCGACAAGGGAGCGGCTCTTGCTGATGGGGGAGCTCATGGCAGCGGGGGACACCGGGCTCGTGGGAGTGCGCGGGGACCGGGAAACGAGACTTTGCTAGAGAGGAGCCGGCGGGATCTGGGGGTTTGACGATTCTGGGAGAGAGGGGCAAAGAGGTCCAGCAGGTGCGATGGAGGGGGAGGCAGAGGAGTAGAGAGAAGAAAGGACCTGGAGCAAGGATGCTCGGCGCTGCCGCGTGCGGCAGCCTCAGGGAGCGGGTGCCGGCCGAGCGCTGGCCCCAAGAGCTGGAGGGGTGCCTCTGAGGGTTGGGTGTCTCTTGGAAGAGGAAGGGAAGGGATATGGGTCCGCCCGTGGGTCTGCGAGGCCGACTTTCTGGTCTGGAGCCGCGAAGTGGAGGTGTCAAGGAGGGTAGAGAGATGCTGCTAGGCGCTGCGGTTTCGTCCTATCCCTCTCCATGCCCAGGGACCATGTATTTATGGAGACAGGGCAGACCCTGGGTGGCCAATGAGCACACTGAGTAGGGCGGAGTGGGCCTTGGCTGGCCTGGCCCGGAGGGACGCGGGACCCGGGGCGGGGGTGGGGGCAGGGCTGGGGGTGGAAATAGGATGGAGTCAGCGAGGTGAGCGAGGGCGCCCGGGCTTCGGGTGGCGGGTGAGCTGCTCGCCGGGCGGGAGCGCGGCGGACTCCACCCGGAGTTCACCGGGTGTGCGCCCAGCTCGCCTCCCCGCCCTGCCCCGGCGGGCAGGAGCCGGCAGTGGCGGCAGCGGCTGCAGCCTCGCGCTTGCACAATCCCGCTGCCGGGCGGGCGAGGTCTCCGAGTGCGGCCCCGGGAAGGCTGCCGGCGCCTGCCGGGGGCCCCGGAGTCCGCGCGCCTCCCGGGAGCCAGTGCTTGCCAGCCTGGACCGAAATCTTTTTGGAGGAAGGTTGGCTTTCTGCGCCTCCCAAGGTGGGGTGTTGGAGACAAGTGAAATGCATCCAAAGAGGGCATTTCACCTTCGGGTCTTCACTTGGGCCAGGCGAGCCAGTTGGGTTTGTAGTTTCCTCCCTGGCTGCTCCATTTTTTGGTTGTTAGGAAGATTTAATGGATTACAGTAGGTAAAGCGCCAACAGCAGAGCCTGGTCGGTAATCAGCACTCGATATAGTTGTTGTTACCCCTTTGGGTAGTTAGGAAACGCGGTGAAAGCGAGGCTTGCGGTGGAGGCTGGGCTACCTCTCCCACGTCCACCGGCCCCCTCTCTTTTTGGACACGACTACCTTGTGCAAAGATGCTCACATGCAGCTTCCAGCCGCCGGGCCCCACCAGCCCCACCCACCACTACAAAGTCCATCCTAGGCAAGCGCGGGGCCACACACACGCACGCACACAATTTCTAGAGTCATCGGGGCTGGCCAGAGTAGAACTTGTTCTACTAATTCAGGAAGAGAAGTTGGAAATTTTTGTTGATTGTGTTTAAGTAATTCGTGGTCTGTCGTTCTGACCCGGCACAGGAACTAAGACCAGCCAGGTTGTTTTCTCTCCCGGCTCCCCAGTCACGTGACCGGGCCTTTTTTGACCCTAGTTTTGGCAACTCTTCCCTGGTGAGTTTATTCTAAACCTCTAGCCTGTTTCTTGAGAACCTTTAGCAGTCCACCTTGAGCTTGAACTCTGTCATTTCAGATTTGTCCTGAGACGTTAATGATTGCTAATGTTAATAAAAATAACTATATTAATATAATGTATTATATTATTATATCTACTTTTACAATGTAATTGGTATAATACAATATATTTACTTATATAGATATCTCTATATATACACATTATATAGTACATATTATATATCACATACTATAGATTAAATACTATATGTAATATATACATCTTATGTAATGTACAAATGAGAGTTTTCTAGAGCTTATGAGAGGGCACTTAAGCTAGACATTGTACAAAAGTTTTCCCATTGAGTTCAGCCCAATGACAAAAATAAATGAATCAATAAGACGGAAGCTTAGAGTGTTAAGCCCAATGTCACATGTGGCTCATGTGGGATTCAACCCCAGATTTTTCTGATTCTAGCCCTTATTATATACATCCATCTACATCATGCATTTTACATCGCCTTTTGTTAAACCAAGCCCATCTCAGAATATTGGGAATGTTCCTTAAGTGGGAATATCACAAAGAGGGGCGGATATGGGATCAGTTTGTGTGGGGCTGTGTGAAAGAACGTTGCTTTATGTGCTCATGGTGGTTAAAAAAAGAATAGCCCCAAATACAAGATGCATTTAGTCCACCATTGTGTACCTTGCTTCTGGCAGGTGTTTGGCACATAGTGAATGGTCAATAAGTAACTCTTCTGTGAAGTCAGATATTGAATTATCCCCCTTCCTTGTGCTTTCTTTTCTTTCTCTCTCGGGAGGTGCACCCAAAAAGAAAGGGAAATAATTTGATATTTTCTAGATTTTCATATGAGTTTAGCATTGTGTTGCCTTATAAACTCCAAGTAGACACTTGGAAGTGTAGGCGGTTGTTAGTGGCATAACGGCTGGCGAGAACATTCTTATTTCAGGGAAATTGGTTTCTCATGTCCAGTGGAGAAAGTCCCCAGTAATTTTTATACTGGATTGCAGAGGAAAGAAGATTAGTTCTCGGAAACTTATCCATCCTTGACAAGGTGCAGCTAAATTCAACGTGACTACTTTGAGCCCAGTCCCAGAAACACTCTTCCTAACTGGGCCTCATCCCTAGCTCATTACTTAGCCTCTGTGAGTCATCCTGCCCGGGGTTCCTGCTGGGAATTACTAATGAGAGATGTTGAAGCATCTCATAAATGCCCACCATCATTACTGAGACAGGCCCAGGCCCTCTGTTTGATTCTGGGAAATCTTACCAAGTCCTGACTGGATAATTACACTCCAGCCCTCACACCAAGCCACCGCAGATGACAAAGTGTGGTTATGTGTGTGTATGTGTGCGTGTGTGCATGCGTGTGTGTGCATGCGTGTGAGCATGTGTGATGAGGGAATAGTAGAAAAGTCCTTGGAAGGACAATAGCTGGTTTCACCACTGAAAAATACAAAATTCCTTCAAATATATTAAATGGTAATATAGTTTTGTGCTTCAAAGCTTTGACTAAATTTAGTGTAGGTCCTAGAGCTGCTTTCTGATTGTGGATCTGTAGAGGACTTACCTTCCACATCTGTAGCATGGATGGTGTTAGAACCCCAACCTCACAACCTGAGCAAAGCCCAAGCTTCATGGAAACAGTGATAATAATAATAATAATAATTAATAATAATAATAGCCAACCTCATGGAGTTTGCTGTAAGAACAATGCAGATAAAGTTCTCAGCACAGGTTTTTGCAAACTGCATGCAAGAGAGACAATTTATAATGTCTCAATTATTATACCTTGTGTTCACCTTAATACTGCAATTTTGATTTGGGAAACTGTATAATTGACTAAAGCCAAAGGCATATTGGCAAAGAAATGCTGCTGAGTTCAACTCCCAGCTCAGTTGCTTAGTAGGCAGATAAAGCAGGGGTGATTTACTCATCTCTTTAAGCTTCAGGTATCTCAGCTCAAAGTGGTGATGAGGGGAGCACCCACCTAGTGGTGTTTTTCTGAGGATGACAAAGTATTGGAAGTTCCTGGCATATATTAAAGCTCTAAAATGTTTATCAAAGTTATTAAGTACAGGAATTGGGCTCTCAAAAAATTAAGGTCATAATCTCTATTACATTTGTCTCAGAAACAAATGTTTCTCCACCTTAGACAAAAACCTCCTTGAAATTACAGGTGTTGTCTCCTTCGTTTTGTCTCTCTGGGAGCATAGGACATAGTGGTGTTGACCTTGGCCAGCACCCAAAAAGCAAATAATAGACCATTGAATATTGATTATTTCCTCATTCTTCAGAGAAAAGAGAAAGATCAGTATCAATGCATTCTCTGTGTTCCGAGGGAGAAGTTGTTGGTAAATCCTGGAAGGCTTTATTTGTGTGTCATATAGAAAGCAATTCCGTATAAATAATAGTTTTGGTCTCCACGTATTGGGTTGAAGCCAGGAATCCACCACTCACAAGCTGTGTGGCCTAGGGCAGGTTATTTAACCTCTGTAAACCTGGTTTCCTCATTCATAAAATTGGGGGTTACTATGCCTATATCTCAGGAAGGCTAAGATGGATGCTTTAAATGGGTAGAACACGGGGCGCCTGGGTGGCTCAGTCGGTTGGGCGACTGCCTTCGGCTCAGGTCATGATCCTGGAGTCCAGGGATCGAGTCCCACATCGGGCTCCCTGCTCAGCGGGGAGTCTGCTTCTCCCTCTGACCCTCTTCCCTCTCGTGCTCTCTGTCTCTCATTCTCTCTTTCTCAAATAAATAAATAAAATCTTTAAAAAAAATAAATAAATGGGTAGAACACAATTAAACACTATCTTCACAAACATTGTCGGGCCCCATACATGCTAATGATTTCTGAGTAGAATTCGGTCCTGTTGGTAAGTTAAAGGTATATAATGGAAAAATGTATCTTAAATCCTCCAAACAGAGTTACATGGGGAGAACTTTTGAGAAGTTTCCTCATTAAAAGAGCTGTTCCATTTTGAAGGAGATGAAAAACACAGGGTGCATGCTCAAGTTTATGAATCATTTTCCTCTTACTACAAATTATAATTTATTGAGGAGCTCCTGTGTGTATGCCAGATATTTTACTATCTCTTCCAACACAGTCATACTGTAAAATAAGTATTATTTTCCTTTTTATAGGAGAAAAACGTGTTTCTTAGAGAATTTAAGCCAGACCTGAGTTTGAATCTACCCTACCACATATGGCCGATTTAGTTCACCTTGTCCTCATTTATAACATGGAAATAATTTTATTTCATTTTTTCTTTTTTTGAAATGTCTGAGAAAATAGAAATCTGTACAAAGAAGACGTGCACTCTTTAATAACACATCTCCACATGAAAGTGGAAATAATTGGTTAAATGAGTTAATGTTATAAACAGTATTTGTTACATGGTAAACAGTATTAGCTATTATTATCAATAATAGTTTTG